ACAGTTGTTAAATGTTGTACAATTTGCAATATGAAAGAGTAACAAGTAATCAATTGACCATGCTAGCGCTAACTGGAAAAATGACCTATGAATAACATTTCTCAAACAGGTCCCCTATAGAGTCAGTTCACCTATAGAATGCTAGTGTACTTACAAGAGATGGAGCTGTTGTGCTTGTATTTTGAAGAGGTTTAGCATTATAAACAACCACAGAACTTTTGACTTGAGTCCAATAGACCTTTGCAGTTTGAACAAAGGTAGCACTGTGACAAAAGCAGAAAGACAAGCAAATATTTCCTCAATATCCCATGAAATATCATTAGAAATTGTTAGGTAATGCTTTACATTAACTGCACCTTAATAATGCAATCATCATGCATTCATAGAACACTCAGTGCACCTTCATAATGCCTTTATTATGCATTTATGGAACATTCATAAGCAGCATGTAAGTTTACCTGAACATCATAACAGACCTTATGCATTAATGACAAACAGAATATGATTACTTGTGTGTTATATGGCAAACATGCAAACTTGAATGTTGAGTATGTTGAATTACAGACATTTTCAGATGACGCTCAAAGCAGTATTGTACACCAAACAGCTCACATGAATCCTGCATGGAAGCTGACTTGCAGACGAGCTTCTAGTCACCTACATAAATACCTGAATGTAATGTTTCCTAGGTTTCCTGTCACTGGAGCCGTCCACAGAGCTGTCACTGATGTTTTGAGTGAGGCAGACGTATGGGAAACTGCTGAGTTCTGAGCAGAACAGACAGCAGGTGGGGAAATAATTGTCACAAAAAAGCAAAGACGACCCTGGATGTGGCTTCCCAAAAGAATCTATGCAATTTAACCTCGGTTCTCGAACTTAATCCGTTCCGGACTCCGGATCGAATCCTAAAAAGTTTGAGTTCTGATCAAATTTTTCCCATAAGAAATAATGGAAAACCCCCCAAAATTACATCTAAATCTGTTTTTTTTTTTTTTTTTAGCATTTAAACACAAAATGAACAGGATAAAACAAGGCCTCCCTTGGCCGCTACCCGATCCACAATGCACCGAACCCCTGACATTCGCCTTGCGGGTGGTGGGTCTACCTGGGGACAGTCCCGCGTACCTCTTTCGGGCTATGCCCGGCCGGCCCCACAAGCCAAGGCCCGGCCACCAGGCGCTCGCCAACAGGCCCCTCCCCCAGGCCTGGCTCCAGGTGACCCAGGTCCGGGTGAGGGAAACGGGACTTTGCTTGAATGTCTTATCATAGGGTTCTTTTTGGATTGCTCTTTGTCTGGCCCCTCCCCTGGGACCTTTTTGCCTTGGGAGACCCTACCAGGGGCAATTGCCCCCGACAACAAAGCCCCCAGGATCACTGACGCACGCAAACCCCTCCACCACAATAAGGTAGCAATCCAAGGAGGGGCGTTCACGACTTCTGATATTCAGATCGAGTTCTAGGTCAAATTGGTTTCTTCGACTTTCAAGAAATTTGAGTTCTAGTGAGTTTGAGAACCGAGGTACCACTGTAGTTTGAACAGGCTGTGAAGCTGACATGCGTGGGGATCTAGCTTTGCAGCCCAGAATGCAATGGCAGATGTCAGAGCTATTTGTATGAGATGCAATTTCATTCTAGAATTTTCAGTGATCATAAAGCATCATAAAAAGATTGGATAAGAATTTAACTTAAATATATGTGTGGTACTCACATTAAGCCCACTGCAGTTAAGAAGCTGGGCATTGCTTCCTGTCACAGTGAAAGTGCCCAGAGGCTGGGTCTGTCCGACTCCGCGGGCTTGTAAGAGGAAGCCCATGAACTGGTTGGGTCCTGCTTGGAGTGTCACTTTAACAAATAAAATCTACGGTATTGTTACCATTACAACTTTTTTCCTGTCCACATCAAATGCACTGACTTCCTAATTTTATGTGACATAGTTATGAAATTATTCAATGACATTGTAATAAAATTATTAAAATGTTGCTTTCAGATCTCTTTTTCATGAATGCTTGTTGGTCGCATTGGGATTCATTTGTGCCTTTGTTGCATGCAAAGTAGTTTTTTGAAATAGGAAACACACTTGTGAAGGGGACTTTACACCATACTTATACACCATGAATTCTATACTTGAATTTAACACAGCAGTGGTGATTACCTGCAATGACATCACCTTTCTGGAAAGTGGTGTGATTCATGGAGATAGAGAATGGGGCTTGAGATGTCTGTCCGGTGGTTTTGTGCTGCGGTTCCATGGTATTACAGCTGTTTTGAACTTTGCCTGAGCTGAAGCCCTCAACAGCCCGCAAGGTCCAGACAACGGTGAGCAACATGTACACATGCATCTGGAAAGAAGGTTCTCGGTCAACTAGCCTGAACTTCTGAAAATGAGACCGATTCCAAGGTGAAACAGCAGAGAACAGGAAAAGCCTCCCTATGTGTACATTGTGCAAATAAAATGTTACTTAGAAGGGGCTGGTGATTGTGTGGGCACACAGGAGTGAGTGTGTGTTATATGAAGGGTGTAGGTCTTATACAGTTACGTATTCAGTGAATGTTGAGATGGTGCGGAATATTAGCATTAAAAAGGCCAGAGTATTGGGTTACTTTTGAACAATAAAAATGAAAAAATAGCTGCAAAAAATGTTGATATCAGGTCTTGTGACTCATTTCGTATATGTCATGCTCGCTCACACGCACACATGCACACAGAATAAACTGAAAATGTAGCATGTTCATAATGGAGTGTGTTAAGTCAGCATCGCTAATGGATCAGGAATTGTCAAACTAAGATTGATGCTTGACTTTGATAAGAATGTTCGCTTAGCAGCGATTTTTCAGAGCTGAGACTTCATTTCCTCAACTACAAAAGATTGAGTGAATACAAAAAATGCAGTTGTCTTATATGCATGTGAACTTTTGCATTTTAAAGAATTATTCGGTGCAATAAAGTTTTGCATGATTTTTTATCTTCAAATTATCTGTGTGAGCATATATGTGTCTGTGCATAGGCTGCAGGCCCCACTGCAACTCTAACTAGAACATGTGGTCAGGATGGATTGATGGATGGATTTCTTATTTCCAGTCTGTTTTTGTGAGTTTCATTTTACTGGATCATTTAAACAGCAAGACCAGACTGCAAATAGGAAGTGTAAGGACCATTTAATTTCGTATTTCTGACCAATGACAGCTTTTATAAACAAACACTCCAAAGCCACCTGAATGGAATATAATATTCACTCAAAAAGTGCATTTGAAGAGAATTTTGCATATATATTAAATAACATAATACTGAATGCTCTTCAAAACACTTTCTAATCACAAGGCAGTTGCGTAATTTTATGCTCACAAGAAAACCTTAAGCAAATGTTTAAATGTCTCAACACCATGCTGCCCCCAGAGTCCTCCAATCTAACTCAACCCCCTATTAACCCACCTTAACCAAACTGATTCTGCTGCTATACCCTCTGATATCAAACTGTATCCATACTGTATTTTCACACAAACATCATACTGTATTTATACTGTATTTGCACACAGATATCATATTGTATTTATACTGTATTTGCACAAAAATCATATTGCACAAAACAATCTTATTTTGCACTGTGCTTCCGCATCAGAAAGCTGTTAGCCCTTACTGCCACTGTACTTAAAATACTTCTCAGCTCATTTCTTTGTCTTGCACTGTTCTTACTGTGTCTACTCACACTGTGTAAAAATTCAATTATATGTGTCTGTGGATTCTGTGGATTTTGACCTTCGCCATCTACTTTTTCTGTATACTTGTAAATGGAAAGATGACAATAAAGTTCACTTTGACATGACATTTTAGTAAACCTGGATTTACAGAGTAATCCATTTATCAGAAACTAAAGGTAAATATTGTATAACTGTAGCAACTGAAGACAAAAAAATTTAATATATTTTAATTTCCTTAACTTTTCTTAAATTTGTATTAAACTATTAAGTTAAAATCCCAAAATAGTTAAGGAAACATGCTTCTTTCCTTTGACCCCACTATCCATAATGATATCTTTGTTTTTTTCCTCCTTATAGTAAATGTAAGAGCAGTTGCTTACCTCTGATTCACAAACACACAGGGTGTACTGTGCTGGCACAAGAACAATCTTTGTGTTTTTGGAGAATCTGTGAGTCTCCACCCCCACTTGATGATAGGAAGGCAGGAGGTGCTACAGAAATTGCATTTCACTCAGGTGAATTATGGAACCCTGCCCTTAGCAACTGATCATCGGGGATCATGTATCAGATAACAAAAAAAAATCAACATTTTTTTCTTGGTTCCTGAGCAGTTTTCTGGAAAAACGATTCATGTGAAGGAAGAAAAAATCAAACGTCACCACTACAAGTAACCTACAAGTTACTTCTTGTTCCTGCCCCGTGTTAATCACTCCCAGCCGGCTCTTGTTTGCATCCTTGTTTGTGTATTTAAGTGTTCCCCAGTCCAGTCGTTAACATGTGCCCCTTTTTCAGTCAACTCGTTTTCATATACTTTTCAGGTGAGGGTGTGGATCATGCATTGGTACAGTGTGTTGCCACACCCACCAAATCCCTTGGGATCCAGGTTGGCAACCTCCCAGACCGTCACACGGTCCAGTCCCACCCTCTGGAAATGCCCATTCATCTGCCACAGCCAGGTACATGGGCATCCCTGCTGGGGTCCTCAGCAATGAGGATCCTCCGAGCCAGATCATCTTCAGGGAAATGCGCCACAGGGCCATAACTAATGCACCCTCACAATGCAGGTAAAGTGCCTTATTAAATGTGTGACGTTGGTCAGCTACATATTTGCCTGGGGGACTGGGTGGGGATGAAGCAAGTCTTTCACCATTTAGATCCTGTGTAGGTGAGACAACTTCATAACAAGGGAAAAGGGCTTAAGGGTCTTAGGTAACAAGGCAGTTTAGGATTTTTATGACCATGTACAGCAGGTGCATTAGAAAGATCTCACAGTTGAAATTGACACATGCAGAAACATGCAGTACTGTGCAACAGCTTTACGCAGTCAAAGAAAATATTAAAACCTATTTATCTGGGTAGGAACACAAAAACTAACAAGCATTTCTTCTGTTCTCCAAAAAGTTACTCAAATCTTGTTGGATGGCTAGACGAACAACACTTTGGTTCCCAAACCTCTCCTCAGGGGCAACTTAACCAGTCCATGTATTTGTTAAATCTGAGCATCAGCTCAATTAATTAATCAAATTAAATAACTACATTGTGTGATAGTGGATAAGTAAAACATATATTGGCATGTTAGATGGTTGCTGCAAATACTGAGTAACTTTAAGAGAGCTTCTGAAAAGGCGAAGCTGACACACTTTGACAGACATTAATCATAGTTTTAGACCAAGAGGAAAATCATTTAAACATTGTTTTCTTTGACTGCCTAAGACTTTTTTCCAATCAAGTACAATCCAGTTCTACAGTTCAGTAAACAATGTTTAAATCTCTCTATTATTTAATGCCATTCACAGGTATCAACTGATGCCATATTTCACAAAAAATAAAAAAAAGAAATAGTAAATACAGAAAACCAGAATAACCAGCAAAACAAGGAAACTCCAAAAATGTCATTAACATCCAAATAGCACAGAGAACAGAGCAAGTGCTATACAATGCATTTTAAACAATGCAAAAACCTAATGGGAGTATTCAATCAAAAGACAAAGTGAAAACTTTAAGAGCATTCAGGGAACATAAGAGCCCAGCAAGGGACCATAAAGTGGCATAGGTCAGTCCAGGTGTTCCCTGAATAGATGTGCAAATATTTGCCTAGTGTCCATTTGACCAGGAGAGCTTAAATGACATTTAAGTGTTTGACAGGAGCATCATTTGGCTCAGTCACATAGTCAGAAAGTATTTCCTAGGGGGTAACCATACCAATAGATCCAACAGGCTTGGTCGAGAACAAACTATTTCTTTTTTTGGGGGGGGAGGGGTTCAAATCTGTATTTTTACCACGTGGCTACGTGCCTGATCGGGCTAAAACTTTGGTGTGAGATGAATTCAACACAAATGGGGAATGAGGTCCGGGACTTTCAGTCTGAGTGGACCGTGTTCATGGCCTCGGTCTTTGCAAGGGCTACAAAACACTGTGCTGAGAAGCCTGTCAATGCCTGTTATGGCAGTAACCCAGTGGTGTTCACCTTGGGTGAGGGAAGTTATCAAACATGCACACGGGTCTCCTGAGATAGTTGAAAGGTTCCACTGAACAGGAAAGCCTGTGGCAAAGGCAGTTGCAGAGGTGAAAAACTATGTGTAGGAAGAGTTTAGAGAGACCATGGAGAGTGGCTATTGGACTTCCCCAAAGAGAACCATCCAACAATCAAGGAAACAAACCAGCAAAAGAATAAGATGAACCAAACAATTTAGCTAAGCAGGGGAGCCTTTTAGCTTTAAAGTAATTTGTAAATCCTGAAGTAGCTCATAATGTCCCCCCCCACCCCCCCGACATGGATTAGGTGGTTTCCCTAGGCGAGAGTGAAACTTGAACGCTGGTCTATAGAGGTGTGGGGTAACCATGGTAACCACAGCACGACCATGCAGGGCTTGCATATCCATTCATGATGTAACATGATACATGGGGTCCAAACACTTCAGCACCTATGGCCAGATATAGCCTTTTGTTTTAGGATGAAGAGAAAATAAACCAAAAATGAATAATCTTTACTGCTGAATGTAATCGTAGCAGTATATATAGGAGCTGAAGCAGGGACGGATTATGGGTTGTGTGGGCCCCTGGGCAAAACGTTCGCGAGGGCCCCCCCCCCCACCACCACCATCATCACCACCAGCACCACCACCACAACCACCACAATTCAAGGGCCCTTGGCAGCCAAACGCCCTCCCTCCATGTTTCCATCAGAGGCCCTATAGGGTCAGGGGCCCTTGTAGGCAGAGGATCAAAGAATGTAGGCCCTCTAAAATAGACAAACGAAAATACATTGTTGATAAGCGTTGCAAATTGTTTTGGGCTAGGGGCCCCACGGGCCCCCTGCACCCCAAGGACCACTGGGCAGCGGCCCCGCTGGCCCGGTCCGTAATCAGTCCCTGAGCTGAAGGAGTCCTTGAAGGAACTGAATCAGTAATTGAAAGCAGTACAGCACAAATGTTTCTTTTGATATCTCTTTTCCAGTAGTCTTTTCCCTTAGGACATTTCTAGGGTAAATATAATTATGTGTTATGTAAAGAAACCCTTAAGTACCTTCCCATAAGTGAGAGGAGAAGAAGCTCCTCAGGATGTTAACCTGCCCCACCCAGCACTCTGTCAAGCTCCCATGCGTGAGTCAGCACAAACGGTCTGTGTAAATCACCCCCCGTCGAACAAAACCATCTCAGAGCGCATGCTTCCCCAGCTGGGTGCATGACACCCACATCACTCTAGCACGCCCCCACCGCAGGCCATGTCACGCATATTTTCATAGAGGTTGCTCATTATTACTCAGCAGAATACCTCTTACAGGCAGGTATAGTACGTTCACACTCCACATTCCACATTCTTGTTTAAGCTGCACCATGTTTCTATCCCTGACATCTGACCACAAGCATCATTTCCCAGCCTGACGTGCGGTGGACTTTCCACTGACGCTGGCAGACAATGTCATGCCAATCTGTCAGCATTTCTGCATGTGTTTGAGATACCAGAACAAAATAGAAGGAGGAGCCATTGAGAGATATTCATTGAAAGCATCCATTTCCTGTTTATTCATATTTATTAAAAAGCAAATTTCCCTTTTTAGGCCATGCAAACGACACAGAATTAAGTGACTTCCTGTTAAACACAATTGTGTGTACTTATGATGACGTAAGAAGAGACAATAAATCTTGTGTAAGAATGTTCTCAGATTTATAAATAATTCATATAATGGTGAGTAACTTACTCCGATTCACCTTAGACACCTGAAAGATCTGTTGCCTTTTGTGATCACAGTAGTTTTGTCTAACTGCAGATTTTTCTTTGATGTCTTCAGCATATGGTACTTCACATATCTGTTGTTCAGATATGGCTGTCATTTGAAGCAAAGATGTTTCTACTTTGTTTTGTTTTTACACACTCGTTTACGGTTTTTCTTTATCCCTCATAGGATACATTCCACATTTAAATACAATTCCTCAACAGTCTGTTTTATTAGGCTTATTAGGCTTATCTTTAGCAGATGGTAAAATTAATAGCAATTATGCTTCCTATTTGCAATCCAGCATACCTGTTCAAAAAAGTCTTGTGTATTTAGTACGTCTCGTCAGATCCGTCATTGTCGTGTTGTAATGTTTAGTCGGCGTCAGTCTTGTGTGCTGAATAAACCCCGTATTAATATATTATATTTTTTTATAAACTATTTCTTTACACAACAACTGGTCCATAAACAACTGAGTTTAATATGGACAAACTGGAAAACAATACATACCCCATTTTGTGTTACTACCTGTGCATTAGGATGAATTCGCGGACGATTACGTCACACACGTGACATGGAATTAATCCTTTACTATAATATTCTGGGAAGTTGTAATTGTGGATTAATTCCGATCGCGTGTGGACTGATCGTCCTGAAATTCAGATCAATCGTCCATGATTCACCGCGAATGTTACTAGACTGCACGAACACGTTAATTACCGATCCCCTGTAAAACCTAATTTCAGCACCCTATATTGCCTTTAGGGGGAAACAGGGAGGCATTGCGCAAAGACACCTGGCGCAAGGACGCCTATTGTAGTACAGTATGTTATCGCAAGCAGTATCACTCGGACAAAAGGGGGAATTGGAGTACATATTGCCTGGGGGGAAGGGGTGAGCCTGGCCAGCTTACCCCCTGCCCGCACGCAACTCTAAATTTAGTATAAAGGAAGGGGGGAGATCCCAGTACTGACCGGAGCTCAGCCGGTGGATAGAGCGCGCATCGCCCGGCACTTTCTCGGGACTCACGTGTTGGTCTCCTGCCAGGACTGAAAAGGGCTCCCCAGTCCATGTGTGAAGGTGGGTGATGATGGCACGTCCGTGTGTAAATAGTTTTGCAGCTGCGTACCCTATATCCCTCTCTCATCCATTTTAATACAACCTGCCATCACAGGAGATACAGGCCAACCCATCACAGGGCACACCCACGCACCATTCACACCTATAAGCAAAATGGTAACTTCAATTATCCTAGGGTGAC